TTTACAATACAATGCAAATCAAGAATAGTTTTGAAACTGAAATTATATTCAAGGAGAATTTAGGGACAAATAAAACATTTTGTATGAAAAATTCAGATGTAAAATATATTGTACCTATTTGTTTATCTATGGAAAAATTGTCATTAGGTAACCTAATGTGAACAATATTAATATCATGGTATGAATGAGACTAATGGATGGAATCACAAATGTGATCACTAGCTCCTGAATTTATGATCCAAGAACCAAAAGTTAAATTGTTGACTAAATACAAGGAATTTGATGGGTCACTTGTGTTGACAAGTTGTTAATAACCAGTTGAATGGAATGAGCTCACCTGATTAGAAGCAAATGTATTAGTTGATTTTTTGCCATAATTTGATGCCTGAAGTAGTGACACAAGATAATAATACTGCTCAGTAGTGAACTATGGTGGAGGTTGTGATCAGCTTGAGAATCACAACTTGAATCAAGATGAACATTATCAATATAATCATCATTAACATTATGAGCATTAGAACTTGGATTTTGTTGCAAATGGAGATGTATGCCATGTTTGCGATAACATGTGTCAATTATGTGACCTGATTTTCCATAAAAATGTGCAAATTTTCTGTCCATATTTTTTGAAAGGAGGTTTCCTATTATCAACAGCATTTGCAAGGATCTTAAACTCATCAATAGAAATTGGAATAGGAGAAATTTGAAGTTCATGTTGAATCACCATGGAGAAAATATTTGTTAAAGTAAGAAACAACTCAAGTAATAGAATCTGAGACTTAACCATATTGAAATCTTCATTCAATCCAGTCAAAAAATGGATAACAGATAACATACACCAAATTGTGATTAAATCTAGCATTTCACATAACATCACAAGAACAACGAATACAACACCTACAATTAGGTATATGCATGTGCATTTCTAATTCTTCCCAAAGAATTTTGAGCTGAGAAAACAATTCAGTTAGTGTTCGATTATCTTGCTTCAAGGAATAGATATCTTGATCTAATTTGGAGATTCGAACTAAATCACCTTGTGCAAATTTCTCTTTCAAGTCATTCCAAACGTCAATGGCGTTTTCAATAAACATGATCAATTGACAAATAGATTATGAAACAAAACGTGTAATCCAAGAGTGAACCAACACATTATAACGAGTCCAAGATTAGAAATTTGGTTCAAAGGATCTGTTGGATCCGTTGAGAGCTCTGCACATTAATTGCACTAAACTGTGATAATTTGATCCATCGAGAACTAGAGTAATAGAGACCGAAGAGGGACCATCACTGGGATGAACATAGTAGAGACTTGTTTGATCTAAAATGGGATTGTAGGAGCTGGAGAAGATAACCAACTGTAACTAGGATGAATATAATAATGATGTAACATAAAGATAACATAAATAGTTGGAGAAGATAACCAACTGTAGCTTGCATTGATTCTCAATAAATGAATTACAAAATGTAATGAATACAACTTTATACTAGTGTAAAGTAAAATCTATACAATACACCTCACTTCTACAACCTTATGATTAAGTTTAACTAATTTAAGCCATTATATCAACTAAGCTTACTATATTGATATTTATAAATCAAAAATTGTTTTATTTTTATTTTTATTTTTATTTCTTGAACTAAATTGGATTGACACATAATTATTTGAATGAGATGATAAGAGACTACTTTCAATTGAATTAGAGCTCCTAAATTCAAACACAGTTCTAAACATGTTGAGGTATTATTCGAATACAGAGATTAATACATAGGCTAAATACATCTTTCGTCTCTTATCTTGCACTCGGGGTGCAGTTTGGTTATTTAAATTTCAAAAAGATTGTTTTGATCTTCAAAAGTTTTAAAACATACCATATTATTCTTTTCCGTACATTTTGTTAGTCGAAGTCAATCCATGAGATCATGTGACACATGCGTGAAATACCATGTGACTTAAATCAGCTTTGTAATTGATTTAGCAACGGAAAATTTGTCACTATCTTCTTCCTCAATATTTTGCAAACTCTTAATGCTTAACTTGGTATGACTTTATCTCCACGATGCACCATAAAAACAAACACTGAAAAAAAATCTTAAATCAATAAAAAATAATAATTTTATTCAATTCAATTGAGTATTGTTACATATCTAAGAAATGCAACATTCACAAATAAATAAATAACGCAAACACAAATGCATAGATGTATGATGAATCACCTTATTGAAATATAACTCACCAAAATACAAAGTTGAATCATAATTGATAAGCATAGTTGAATAACCTTACTAATAAGAATTAAACATAAAATTTTGTCAAAATTAAACACAAAATTTAAAATAAAATATAAACAATGAAGATCTCCTTCTACAATAAGGATGGCAATGGAAACTCATCAATGGAAGGTGTAGTAATTTAACCTTTACTTTCATATTTACATCCAAAGCTTCAGTTTTTACTTTCAAGCTTTAAGTTAATTGAGCTTAAATTTTGAACTTCATTGTTGAAATTTGAAACAGGTATAAAAAAGTTGAAATCAATATCAAAAAGTTAAAATCGATCACACAAAATTGTATGTTACATGTCATCAGATATTAATAGAGTTAATGTAATTTGAATGAAAATGACTAACGTGATAAATTTTAAAAAATTGAGGATCAAAATAATCTTTTTAAGAGTTAAGAAACTAAACTTACTCAAAAATAAGATTAAAGAAAAAGTATTTAACCTTAATATATATTCACTCAAAAGATAAAAGATATCGTAATATCGTCTATTTATATCTATTTTTTACTCATAACATTTTAAAATGTTTGGACAGTTTTTTACTTTCATTTTTATTAAGAAAATAATATTATAATATACTAAATTAAAATTTGAAATTCTGGTAAGTAAATATCAGATGTCCTAAGAGATGTCGAGACAATGATATATGTTTAAAACACAAGGACATAATACAACATAGTTAAAGATTCAAAAAATAACAAAACACAGAGAGTTGTTAACCCAATTCGGTGTACAACAACACCTACGTCTGGGGGCTACCAAGCCAGGAAGGAAATCCATTATTAGTAGTATCAATTCAAAGATAAACTATTCCAGTTTACAACTTCTCACTTAATCCCTACCCAGTGCAATTTCTACCTAAGACACTCTTAGATATGAGAATTCTCTCTCACTTCCTAACAGTCACAATTAGCAGTGATAAAATTAACAATATATCAAAAGAAGTCACATTTCGAAGACAATAATTGATCTTTCTTAAAAGCTTCAATCAAGTACAACACACTCTTGCATAAAAGTTTAGTGTGGACACTTACAACTCAATAACATCAGTCCAGTTCAAGCTTCTAGGTGATGAATGAATGACTCACAAATAATCTACTTCAATGTATAAGAAGGTACACGAGTGACACACAATACAGTAGCACACTAAAAGAAAACTCAAACTTTAAACTCTTATTTGCACACACAATTTCTTTTTCAATAATTCCACATACATTTTAGGTTTAGTAAGTCTCTTTATATAGTCCCGTGCAACATGGGTATGGACTATTCAATCAATTCTGTTTTGTCAATTTTAAATCCTTTGCAAAATCTTTTTCACAATAACAGGAAAAGTTTCCTAAAAAATCTCATCCTTCAAATTTAGCAATTTGTGCACAACTGGAGATACAAAAACTTGTTCCCGATAAAATCTTCTTGATCTGCAAAAATTACTGAGATATATTTAAGTATCACAAAATTAAAACAAATATGTCAAGAATTAAAACACTCATAACAAATGTTTTGGTATAACATGTTACAACATCTGTTTGGACATCTTCTCTCAATGTGAGTCGATCAGCATGTTACAATATCATATACACCATTCTGCTTTGAATCATATTTTAGCAAAATCATTATCAACCCTTTTAAACCATGGAATCTTCAAATTTTATAATTAATTATTAATGATTAGAAGTATATTATCCTCTATTTTCTTTTAAAGAGTCAATGTTATTTTATAGTTACATTAGTTATCTTTTATCATCATTTCTATTTTCTTTTAAAGAGTCCATGTTATTTTATAATTACATAGTTATCTTTTCATTTCCATATATAGTACCAAACTATTATTTTTTAAAATCTCATTTCCTACCAAACTATTAAATTATCCTTTTATTTTTTATTCCTCTTAATTTCAATTTATATTTTTATTTCCTCTCTCTCCTTCATCAACTAAATAAAATATAATAAGATAATAACGAACTTATCTTAATATCTTTTTATAGACTACAATTTAATTTAATTTTTTTAAAGATTAAATCATCCCATAGTTTTTTACAAAAATTAAAACGAATCTTCACTAAAAGAAAATGAAATAGCAACTAGATTGAAAATCCAAACTTTAATTTTGAAATAAAAATAATATAAAATTTTAAACATATGAAAAGTTAAAATCAATATAATAAATTATTTTTTAATATTTTTCCTAACAAATTTGTTCTATGAAAATTTTTAATCCACCCATTTCCCCAACCTTTCAATAAACCCAACCAAGACTCCCTTAAATTTTAGTTTTGTAAAATAACAAGAAAAATCATATATATTCATTATTCATACATTTTGTTTGAGAGAAACAAACCGCTAACAAAAATAACATATTAAATTAAAAATAACAAGAAACAGTCCCTAACAAAAATAACATTATTTATTTATTTCTGACAGAAGAATCAAATATATAAATTCATTCGTATCTAAGACAATAAAAAATCATATATTATATTATTTAATTTATGATCATTGAACATGAATAGTTGGCATTTGCAAAATATTCAAAACTCAGAAAACCACCGCTATAGCATGACTCATGCGCAAGCAAGTTGAAACCTCTCCCTCCAAATTATATATTCTCTCTTTAATCTTCGCACTTCTTCTCACCACAACACACACAAAAAACTCCATTCTCTTTCTCTCTCCATCTTTCTCTTTCTCTTTCTAGACTTTATATTTTCAGGATATGCTACAAGTGGATTTAGAAACTCTTGTTTCAGCCTGTGCCGGCGGTTCTACTGATCGGAAAATCGCCTGCGAGTCACAAGCTGAAAAAACGGATCCACCGGAGCATCATCCCGATTCTCCGCCGGAGTCATTTTGTCTCTCCAAAGATGAAGAAACCGAGTGGTTGGATCGTAACTTCGTCTACGAACGGAAAGAATCCACCAAAGGAAATTCAAATTCAGGAAACTTGAACCTTAACTCCAGCTCCAACTCCAATACTAACTCTCAGCGTTTTGCAAATCTCAAATCTAAAACATCGATGATTGGCTTGCCTAAGCCTCAGAAACCTTCCTTCGTTGACGCTAAGAATCGTCGCAACCATAAGCCTAGCAACATTAAATTGTTCCCGAAGCGGACCGCCTCCGTCGGGAAATCATTCGCCGAACCTTCGTCACCGAAAGTGTCCTGCATGGGAAGAGTCAGATCTAAACGCGGAAGAACATCATCCGCGGCGGCGGCCGCCGCTGCTGTTAAAGAAAGATCTCCGAGAACCGAGAGAAAACGCAGTTTCTTCGGAAGTTTACGGTCTATTTTCCGCTCCGGTGGAAGAAATAAACCGGACCGGAGAACTGATCCTCCGGCTTTTGATTCATCTGTGACGAACACGAACAGCGTTGGTATTTCAAAAGCGCGTGACAGCACGGCGAGCTTAAACGACACGTCTTTTGTGGAGTCTGTATCCAGAAATAGCGTCTCGGAGAGTGAACCGCCCAGTTTGGGTGGGATGAACCGGTTCAAGTCTGGAAGGCGGTCTGACTCGTGGGGAGGAGATGATTCTGAAATCCACGTGTCGCGATGACATTCGTGCTTGGTAACGGTTCCGTTACGTTACGCGACGGCTACAACGAAGTGGGGCCCATTGGCTATGCAAGTCAGAGGAGTCAGTAAATGATAAACAACACGCGACTCGCGGGTCACTCGCGTGGCCCAAGCGTGTTTAAAAAAGTGAATGACGTGGCGCGTTGAATAACAATATGTGGGACTGTTATTCTTGGGAATTTTTTTCTTCAATTTTCTTTATATTGTAATTAAATTTGAGGGTATACAAGATTCATGGGTGTTTTTAATTGTGCACTTGTTGATTTTCAAATGGTAGTTTCAATAATTATATAACCTTTTTTGAATGTATAATTTAAACTAACTTGTCCTTTTTAATTGAACCAAATCAAGCAAGGATATGATATTGTTTTATATTGGTTTTGAATTTTATCTACATGAAGGAACAAGAGGTGAGCTGATAGGACAAAGCCGCCGGTCATGAGCTTTAAAAAAATAATTAAACTTATTTTTAATATTTTAAAATTTTCAGTTTCGGTTTGATTTATGAACTCGTTTGATTAGAAAGAAATTAGTAGTCTGTCACACTTCATTAACTATTGTGTTCATCGATGTTATAGAGGAGAGAGTGTACCTACAAGTTACTCTGATTTTTAAGTGAATAACGGAGTTTTGAAAGAGCAAATACAAGGAGAATTAAGTGTAGAGAGTAAGATACATGTCACTCTAGTGAAACTGTCAGGGCAATTAATGTCTAGGGCGACTATGGGTAGTGGCATTCAAGTGCCTAGGGACGCCTCGAGTCCCGTGGCAGGTTTATAAATAGGACTGAGTCCGCTTCAATCTCACTTTTTCCCTTCTTCTGTCCAAGATGTTCCCTCTCTTCTCTTCGCGCTCCTCCTTTCTCAGCTCCCAAACATTCCCCGTTCGTCGTCGTCTCGTCCTCCCAGAATCGCCGTACCAAGTAAGTCACAACTGCATTACTCTCAATTTTTCTCATTTTCTGACGGTTTCTCCGATGGACTTGATGAATGTCCCAGAGAAACTATGAAGTTTCTAGTTAATACGCCAAAACTTTTTTGAATTAGTATTGTCCTGGATGAACCTCCCGGGGACAGGCGATGAAGCCCCCGGGGACGTAGGATGAGTGACTCGGGGTATAAGATGAATGACCCAGGGACCTGATAAAGGTCTCGAGGACTTGGGAAGGAATATCCAGGGACGTTGGATGAGAGTCTCGGGACCCGATTCTCACCTGTCGAGGCAGGGGAGGCTCTCCCATTGGTGGGGCCCCTCTTCACCCTTTCACTTGATCTGCGGTGGAAGGGTGAATTTGATCTGGAGTGTCGAATTCACTATTTTCCTCTACTTTTCAGGTGAAAATGGCCGCTTGGATTGATGGGGTCGTTGAAATTAACGACGAGCCTGATTCTCCAGTAGCACAGGCCGGTGAAGAGCAAAAACAAACTGCCGCAGATTGGGCCGGGGAGGAGCCCCTGAGTATTTCTTCCCGTTTTACCGTGGATGAGTCTGATGCCTACGCTACGATCAAGGACCGCTGTGAGGGTTCCCCCTTTAACTGGAAGGTGTACAAACCCCGAGCAAACTATCAGATATGCCCGACTTTTAAGGGGATTAGGTTCTCCATGTATGAATTCACTTTTCGGGAAGTGGGCTTACGTCTTCCCTTCACTGATTTTCAACGGGGAATCTTTAACTGGCTGCGGCTGGCGCCCTCGCAACTACATCCGAACGCGATTGCATTCGTGCGGGCGTATGAGCTCGTCTGCCGACATGTCAACGTCAGGGTCACACTCACTCTTTTCTTCTGCATCTTCCATCTTCAACAACAAACGTTCGAGGGTCGACACAGTTGGGTGTCTTTGAAGCAGCTGATGAGACTGTTTATGGCATATCTGAATTTCATCCGCACTTTCAAGATCGGTACTACATTGTCAAACTCGTCACTCACACGGCCGTGAACTCACTTTTCAACCTCGAGGTCTAGGAGAAAGACGAACAACTACATAGTGACGACGGGCTCGTTGGATGCCGATGACCAGGTGGCCTACCAGAAGCTGGTCACATTTGTCTCTAGTTTCACTCCCGCAAAGTGTGTGACGCCAGACGAGAATTTTATCCTCAATTCGAACGGGGATATTCTTCGGGAGTCGCGGTTGATCAACACGAAAGTCCTCCTCGAGTGTGCGTCTAAGGAGGAAGCCATGCATTTTTTAGGTGGTGGGTCCGCTTTTCGCTCGGGCTCCCTCTGTGCCTTCGCTGTTGGTTTGTGGTTTGCTGATTTATTTATTTTACTTTTGCAGGAGAAATGTCGAGCATGCAGGAGCGCGTAAAGAGGTTGGCGGCCAGCAGAGGCGTGAAGAAAGCTGGTAAGAGGAGAGTTGCCCAAGCACAAGAAATGTCTGATCCCGACCAGAGGCCCAATAGTTCCTCCTCTTCTTCCCAAGGCAGTCAATCTCCGTCTTCACAGGGGACATAAAAAAGGCCGCGGGTTAGTGAGCCCGAGATTGTCGACCTCATCGAGGGTAATGTTGAGGAGAGGTTTTTGCTCCCGCCATTCTATCTGCAGCCCGCTTTCTTCTACGGGGCTAATTCCTCAATTGTGGGAGCCGCCGAGTCCAAGGCCATCCTGGGTGCTGACCAGAAGACGAGGAAGAAAGCTTTGTCGAAGGACCTGGCCGCAGTGATACATGTCTTCGAGATGACTCTGGTCCTCAACGATGAAGCCTGCTCTTCTGCCGGCATATCCTAGTTGCAGGACGACCTCGTAATTGTCGAGGCTGAGAGGAACAAACTGGCGGCTGATCTCGACCAGACCAAGGAAAAGAGTGCCGCCCAGCTCAAGCTCCACGGTGAGGTGGAAAAGCAGTTGAAATCCGTTGGTGAGGAGAGGACAAGGCTTTTTGGCAAGGATTGCTGAGTTGGAAGCGACTTCTCAGCCTGTCAGCCTGTTGAGGATGAAACTGCTGAGGAGAACCTCATGGTATCCCGGGCGACTCTAGTGTCGAGGATTTGGGAGCTCGAGCATAACTGCATGGGGACCCTCGAGGTGAGATTTGACTGTGTCGTGAAGCAACTCCGGATTGTGAACCCGAATGTTCAGTTCATCACCGAAGGGACGTGGCCCTTTCATCAGGTTGTCGATGGTCGTGTGGTCGCGACGGTAACCGAGGAGGAAGATGACGGCCAAGCCGAGGCGGGTAATGAGCAGGAGGAAAATGAAGCCTCTTAGAGTTGTAGCGTTTCTGTCTTTCTGGCCTGCGTGCCTATTTTATTTTTCTGGCCTGCGTGCGTACTTTTGATGTATTTGTTTCTAGTCTGCGTGCCATTTCTGTAATTATTGAACAATGGGCTCTGCTCGCCATTTTTGGTAATGTAGTAAATTTACTTTTATGTTGTGTGTGCTTTATTTTCTTTGTTTTCTAGTTTACTATGTATGGATAACATTTGTATGTTTGTCGCTGGGAATTTTTTGCTCAACATATTTTGTGGTCGATCGTGCAAGGAACTTGCCGAGTGATCGGAGTTGGTATCCGATCGATGGGGAAGCCAAGACCTCGGTCGAGGTCTTTTCCCGGGCGTGAATTTTCCATCACGAGCTGGGTGTTCTGCCTCACTGGTACGACAACGATGGAGCTCGACTGAGGGGTCCCCGCTGGATTAAGGGTCTGCCCGCACACACAAAGAGAATGCTCTTATCTTTTTGTTTTAAATCTAGAAGTCACGCTTGTTTTGTCTCGGACACGGTAGGGGCCTTCCCAGTTTGCGGAAAGTTTTCCCTCATGCGAATCCTTCTGATTCCTTCGTAGGACCAGGCTGCCCACCTGGAACTCGCGCTTGATGACTTTGCTGTCATGCCGTAAGGTTATCATTTGTTTCAGCGAGGCTTCCCGTAAGGATGCCCCCGACTTGATTTTCTAGATTAGGTCGAGTTCCTCCTTTAACGCCTCGTGGAGGGGGGACTCGGTTCTCCTAGAAGGTTCTCTTATTTCCATCGGAATTACTGCCTCAGTTCCGTAGGACAGTCGAAATGAGGTCTCCTTAGTTGTAGAGTGCGGGGTAGTCCTATAGGCCCAGAGTATGCTGTGTAGCTCCTCGACCCATCTCTTCTTGGCGTCTCGCAACCTTCGCATTAGGCCGTACAAAATCACTTTGTTCGCGGCTTTGGTCTGCCCGTTCGTCTGCGGGTGTTCGACTGGCGTGAAATGTTGCTTCGTGCCCAACCTGGTGACGAAGTCCTGGAAGTTCTTGTCGGTGAACTGTGTCCCGTTGTCGATGCCGATGGCTTGCGGTACGCCGAACCGAGAAAGTATATTCCGTTTGTAGAAACGGAGTATGTTTTGGGCCGTCAATTTGGCTAAGGCTTCAACCTCTATCCATTAAGTGAAGTAGTCGACACCGACTATCAAATATTTATTTTGGTAGGACCCGAGGGTGAAGGGTCCGAGGATGTCCATCCCCCGCTGGGAAAATGGCCATGGCGACAAGAGTTTTTTGACCTCGTTTGGCGGGGCCAGGTGCATGTCCCCATGCCATTGGCACTTGTCGCACTTCTTGACGTGCTATTTGGCGTCTTGCTGCATGGTGGGCCAATAATATCCCGCTTGTAGGTCCTTGTGAGCAAGTGATCTTCCGCCGAGGTGTTAGGCATTGATCCCTTCATGGATCTCTTGGAGTATCTCCGGTACCTTGGATTCGTCAATGCACTTGAGGACGAGAATGGAGAATCCCTGTCTGTACAGTTTGTCCTCGATTAAAACATACGAGAAGGCTCAACGCCTGACCATGCTCGCCTCTTTGGCATCGTCGAGCAGTCGTCATGTGCTGAGATATGTGTAAACAGGGGTCATCCAGTAGTTACTGTCGTCGATAGCGTTTACCTCGACATTTGTCACGTCTTTCTCGAGCTGGGGCTAGAGAGGACCTCTTGGATTACGGATTTGTTTTCGCCTATTTTCTTCGTGCTAGCCAGTTTCGACAAGATGTCTGCCTGTGTGTTGT